TTACTCATTATGAACGGATTTCATACGAGTAAGAATATCTTCCATACAAGTTTTTTTTCTCGTTCATTTCCGTTTAAAGAGAAAATTCAATTAAAAATCTGGTTGCTTATCACATCTTTTTCTGTTAAATATTATAACCTCATTCAGTTCTACGCACTGTTTCGTGTTTTTCTGTGTCAGGGAATGCCCAACATATAACAAATGAACGAACAGAAATATGTCCGAGAAAATCGCTCGCTGACCATAGAGTAGAGATATCCTATGTCGCTGACCGACTCGAGGGAGGAACTCTTTCTCCTCTGCAGGGGCGAACGAGAAAACTCTTTTGTCGCGAAGGGGGGGGGGGGTTCGATAGGTGACCTTTATTTCAATTTTACACATTTCTCGTAACGCATTCCTCGGTTAGTCTGTTGTGGGCTTAACTGGCGTCATTACTAGAGTTTGCATCGTTTATGGTAAAAATAACAATTTCTTGATGTGGTGCAATAAATCATGTCAAGCGATTCACTCTCCAGAGCAGATTGCACGTTCATCTTCTTTATTAGGAGTTGAAAATGAACACGATTCTCCTGTTTCAAGAAATTAATTTCCTTATTAATTCAGCAAACAGCTTTTTGCGTAACACCCGTAGAAGCAAGTCACTCCCTTAACTGCTTTGACATTACATCTTCTTTTGCTTCTCTCTCCATACATTGATATACTTTTGCAACGACTTCACGCGTCGGACTGTGAATGGCTTCCTTATTCAACTTACATAAGCACCGGACAATCCAATAATCACTCCACATTAACTGCGTACAAATACTTCATTCGAGCCACTAAAACCTTGAACCTCGCGCAATCGAAAAATCAGGGTCATGTGTATTTACCATGACCGGGATATAAGTCGCACCCCTGTTTCCAAGAAGAATTTCATTCTTTAATGTTTGATTTAAATTTATTCAGTCAAAAAAGCAGTAAAAACTGTACGTGACGTAGGAGGAAAAGATTATCTGCGCACGTTTTCTTGAGTTCCAGAATCACTTCCCGTCATTTCAGCTACAAATAGGTAAAAGATGCGTTAAAGTTTAACATAAATATAAACATATTTTAAAAATCGTCATGGGTCAATGTTTACACAACTGGAGTAGGGATGACACGTGCTCCGCCATAAACCGATTATGTTAGAGGAATGGACTCTTCCGGCAGCTCTGAGCCCTCGACCTTCAGCGGCCATGCTAAAATAATGTGACTGCACTCGACAATGCTTTGCTATTGCAGTGTATTACACACTACTGGTCATTGTTCATCACTTTTTACGGTTTGCTGTGCTAACATTCTAATGGATGAAAGACTCTCGCACGTATGTGTTTATTCTATAACCTTGCTGCCTAGTATACTATTGTTGAAACGTTCTCCCTCAAATTGGGGCATGCTGACACTATCTTTCGGAAAAAAATGTACTTGTCCGAAATTTAAGTAATAATCCCGGACGATATTTCACGATTAAGGGGACAGAATATTTGCGTGCTGTGAAGTCGCGCTTAATCTTGAGCGAGTTGCGTAGGACAGGGACGCTTCTGTCGTAAACGAAATCAACCCCCCCACATTTCAGATTTAATTCAAATCATTCGCTAAACACTTCAATTACTATTAAGAACAAGTTGTGAAAATTTCAACGAAATTGGTCGAGTAGTTTTTAAGTTTACGTGCGACACACATTCACTTTTATTTATTTAGATATAGATTTCACACTATACTCAGAACATTTTTTTAAAATTTGGCTTCATGTGAAGTACCTCCAAAAATTGAAGTATGTTATCGCAGAGCTTCGAGTGATGTCAGTCTGATCTGGGAGTATTAGCTAGGGTTCATCAAGGGATTGCAGATGAAGAGACAGCCATATTGCTAATTTGTTATAGAGAGGATTGGATGGTACAATGTCTAGTAGCCAATACAAAGTTTATTTGAATTTTCAAGAAACTATCAATAAACAATACTTTCTTTCTATTGTAAATTATAACTACTGAACATGATAAAGTTTCATTTTTGTTACCAGGGTAAGTTCAAGAAAATGAAAACATGATTTTCAAAACATCTGTGGCAAGATTATTTTCATCACAAGTTCATGATTCAATATTAACAGGATGAAAATGAATTCCATCCAAACTATGAATATCACAAGTGTCCCCACCTCCTGTCCCAATTATGAATATCAGCAATCTCTTCCTTTAATGTAAGAGTAACCAATAAAAGAAAACAATGCAACTATTAAATCTTGGAGGTAACCTGTAACTCCATGACATTAATTCCTATTTGTGAGAATATTACAATGATTTATTAAACTAAGGTGTCGTGAATCATCCCGGAATTTAATATAATTATGAAACAAGTATGAAGTAATGGTTTGACCAGACCCATTAAACATTAAATCAAATTAAATATTTTCAAATTATGATCATATTAGCAACAAACATATTAATTAACAGTAGAAGTATTCTCATAAGCTGGTTGTTAATAAACCTCAATTCTTCTTCTTCTTGCCGTTTTCTTAACTGCTGCTTCGGTATTCCGGCGCCTAATCTTCTTCTCCAGTCTTCCCTGTTCTTCCAAGAATCAGGAGGTAATTTCCACGTCTCGATTATCTTTCTGATATTCGGTAACTGTAATTTCCCTTGCCGGTGATATCTTTTCCCTTTCTGTAGTTCCAAGAAAGTTTGATCTTCCTTCATTTAATAATTTTCTAAAGTACTCTTCCCATTTGCTTACGATATACTTTGTATGCGGAGTTTTTCCATTAGGGGAGATTTTACCTCTTTTATGAACTTCCAAATCTCAATTGTTTTTGTTCCACCCATGTACATTTCTACTTCTTGACATTTACGCTCAAATTATTGCAGTTTTTTTCTTCTCTTATGATGTTCCTAACTCTATTTCATTGAATTTTATATTTCTCTCTATTTTCTTCTTTCTTGGTACTCAACCATTTTCCATAGTCTCTTCTTCTCCTCTATTTCCCGCTCCAAGTCTTGAATATTCCAATAGCTTTTCCCTCTCCTTTTCTTATTTCAGGTATTTCACTAAGCGCTTCTTTACCCGCTTGATCTTTGAGGTGTTCATATGTCTCCTCATTTGATCCAACTAAGTTTTCATTCAGTAAATTATCCAATCTGTTTTAAAATAAATATCTTATACTTGGTTCTGATAGACCCGCTACATTATATTTCTTACCTTCACTATTTTCATTTTCGTCTTCCTTTCGTTCACTGATCTCCTTTTTTTTTTTTTTTTTTTTCCCTTCCTTCTTTTTCTTTTATGGGTGGAAACATTACTTTGGCCTTCACTAGGTAATCGTTGTATCTACATTCTGGGCCTCTGTTTGCCCTGACGTCTTTACTTTACCCGTTAAATACTGTCTAGTGATTACGTAACTGATCTTCCTCTTACCTTATCTTCCCAAGTGAACATATGCTATAAACCTCAATTCTCAGTCCTAACAAGGAATGAGTTCTTCAAATAGCAAATCTCTACTCTGAAAATGCCCACTTAAATATACCTTAAGGAAAAAGAAAGGGGATTAAGGTACTTTTTATTAAATGTCATGTGGACATTACCTTTCCTCATGTATACAGAATAAAACTAAAGGTTCTTTTTCCTTAAATTGAAAATATTTATCTGAAGAAAAAAATCCAAATTATTCCTGATAAAATATTATAAGTTTCAGAGAAAACCCCATTCAAAGCCGTTTAGCTGTTCTCAAGATTATCCTGTGCACAGGCAACAATTATAAAAAAAATTAAATGGCTTATTATACCAGCTAATAATAATTTGAGATTATAAAACGGCAGTTACCCGAACATCTCACACACACACACACCAATGGTATTTGTATAAATTAATATTATAATTTCTTTGAAATAATTGTTATATTCATTGCTATAGTCCAATCTGGCCAAGAGATTATGATTTTAGTTTCTAAAACAGTTGCGTCATTGCTGAAGACATTACCTTGCAAAATGTATTCTTCCAATAGTTCTATAGGCTAGAGCACCATTAATCACTACTTGCGGGATGCATGAATTTCATGAGGGATTTACCAATATCGTCACTAAAATCGGTGTAAGAATATATAAACATAATGGCAAAAAGCAAATGAGAATATGTGTATGTGTGAATTAAGTCATTGAACAGGCAAATGAATAGGCCATACATAGTGAATTTCAAAGAGCCTGTGCTATTTTCGTTCAGCACACTTTTAAGATTCGCAATTGGCTAAATTTTAATCACAAAATTATGCATATACATAATGTTCCTTAAAAAGGAAGTTTGGATGGGTAGACGTGTTGCACTCTTGCTACATAAACATATTATCATTAAGCAAATGTTTTTCAGTTACAAGAATAATGTGTAAAACATCTCAAGCAAAAGTCAGCCAAAGCTTGTGAAATATATGTGAATCACTTCTTTATGTTAATCACAGTTTTTCTCCCCAAAGAAATGAACACATGATTCACTGGGTCACATGAGGGCACTGGCATAAAGAGTTCTTAGACTACAAGGAAACGATGTGAACAAATAGTCAGAAAATTAATAATTAGGCAAGATGTTAATAACAGAGATGACCTACAGACTAGACAAAATTCCTCAAGGAACCACCATCAGCCAGTGGTCTTAGAAAGTCAAAAATAAACAGTGTAAGCATGTTGACTGTACCAGAAGGCAAACCCGGTTCATTACACCTTTGTGTAAACCATGCCAGCTTCTACTGTTCCAGGGGAAGGAGAAGTCCATGATGGAGGGGATGTGTTGAAGTTACATTTTGATGGTTGGGGTGGTGTCACATCTGCCACGTACAGCGTTGTTCAATGTGTAGCATTATGGACAATGCTTTAATTTGAGTGAAATTTGGCAAACCATTTGTATTGCACAGACTCAAGAATGTTACAGAACTGTCATGGCAGAAGGCCACTGACTTGTTAAACCTTGAAATGCGAAGCAAAGTGGCACGCTTTGAAATGCATAGCAAGTTGGCCATAAAAAAGCAGGTGAAATTTTGTTGAGTTAGTAGAATACACAGTGTTTTGTAGACATTCCACTTGTGTGGTACTGAATCACAAGCTACTTTACTGCAGGTGTCTCAAAAACACAAGTGCTGCTTATGTACATTTTATTAATATTTTCCCCCCTGTAATTTAATGTCAAGTGTATTGCACTCCTTTTCATGATTAATTATTTTGTGTATGTCAATTGATTTGTTCATTCAGTGCAGTGCGTGTTTATCACAGACATGGCAGTATTCTTTCCCCCACTGCAGTGTGAGATCACGCTCCTACAAGTTGGCTTGTGGGTGTTTACTTGTTCAGGTTATCTCCCACCATTGGGACACCATCCCAGCCAGGGCAAGGTAGAAGCTCTTGACATGTGGTAGTTTTGCGCACATAAGTGTGTACGAGTGTGTAAGAATGAGGTGACAAATGGACAAGGAAGAGAAAAGAAAAATAGCATGCAGTCTGTGGCCTATTTATTAGGGTATTCCTTTGCCTAGTGTTCATCAAAGAAACCTTTGAAAACTGCCGAACAGAGCAGTGAGCTGCTAGAATTCTCCTTCAGACAGCAGTTGAAATCGACTTTGCTATTTAGCATCACAAATCCTACCACTGTTGAGACTCAAACCCTAGGACCTCCCAGTCAGATGCAAAGCAGAGACATCAGTTGATGCCTTGAGCTACTTTGGCTGATTCCCTTCTCATCTTCCTTCCCCTCTCTCAATACCCCTTCTTGACCTCCCCCTCTCCTCAATCAAACACTACTTTCGAAGTGTGTACTGGATTCCCCACTTTAACAGTCTTTACTTCTAAGCGATTTTCTTTATAAGGTTGCAGCACTCGCTGAGAGTTATGAATTAGGTAAGAGTAATTTTTAATTATTTCCATATTCAACTGAATTGAAACTACATAATAATAAATTGAGAACTATTATTTCATATGATTTTAACAATATACTGATTCATTTGTAACATATAACAGCTAGGAGAAACATAACACATGAATAATTGTTTAAAGTTTTTAATAAACTGATTGTTATTTGATTACCACATACTTCAAGAATATTATTACCTAACATCTATAAATTAGATAAAAATAGATGCCCGAAAGTGCATTATATATAATGAAAATTGCAGTCAGAATGGTGTAAGACATCTTTTGATCTCTCTTTCATTTTTTCAGTCACTTTAAACATAGGTCCATGTCCTGGAACAATCCAATCAACTGAAGACAAAATGCGGTTTCTATTCTGGCGTTGAATTTCCGGATCATCACTGCCCGCAACATGTGACCATAAATGAGGATTATCAATATCTTCTTCCTTCTCAAAGAGGTCACCTGTGCAAATTAAAATATGCCGTCATGTGTATACAAGAAAAACAAGTTACAGAACTGTTGAATAAGTTTCAATATTTCTCACAGAAATAAGATGATATCTACTACAAATGGTGTTTTTGGTTACAATAGAGCATAAAAATAAAAAAGTACATTATGGCAGCACTTCTTAAATAAAAATTAAACTTCTGAACTTAGTAGGAATGCTTTATCCTCAGCATGGTCCACGTGTCAAATATATTTATATCTTAAAATAAGGCAAAGAGGCGGAGTTATCAAACATTTTAATTTGCAGATGTGGGTTTGGGTTATCAAACAAGGAAGGCAAAGTGGAATTATGAAAATTCAACATAGATGAAGGGTAATTAGGGTTTACTGAATTTTAAATTTTGGGGCCTTTAACTGTTCATTAAATTACTTCAAGATATGAATAAGTAAACCTTCTTCTAAGGAGTGAAAATCATATGTTTACAAGTAAAATAATTGGATTGCAATTATATGCTAGTTCTTCCCAGGACCAAACTTTCTAAGAGCTATTATTAATGTTTTCTACAAAATTAAACTAGCTGCTTATCAGTACTAAACTTCTAACTTCGTTAAACAATGGGTACAACCAGAATTCAAAATGTATAAGACATATCATCATGGAATTATTAAAATCTGTGAAAACAAACCTGTAATTGCAACTGTTCCCTGGTCTTTAGTTTTAACAACAACAGTAACGTCAGCCAGAGTATGGCCAGGAGTAGGGATTACCTTAATATCATCGTCAATGACATACGGTTCACCTGTAACATGAAGTTTAGATTATAATTTTCCTACCTTATTTCAGTTTCTTGAAAATTTATTAATATAATTTTGATGAATTGTATTTAAAAACCTCTGCAAAATTATTCTGTTGAAATTTATGAATAGATTTTACTTTAGACAATTTTCCTGATGGCATGAAAAGCAAATTTCTTGAAAAAACATTTTTGAAAAATTAAAAACAAATATTTTGAACACAAAAAACATTCAGGGTAGGTATTGTATCATAACAACTTACCCGTTTCAAATGGATGAATGAAATATGTATCTTTAGAAGATATAGAAAAGCCCACAATATGTTTGGCGTTGAGAAACAAATTGTTGTTTCCTACGTGATCTGAATGGCAATGTGTGCACACAAGATAATCTATTTTATCAGGCGATAGGTTATGTCGACTCAACCCTAGAAAACATCAATAGGTCACATTGGGATATAAGGCTATTTTAAATACAAACACACAATGGAGACATAATGATTGTGAAATAAAAGAAAATCACCTTCAATAATTCTATCTCTATCCCATGGTGTCATCGTATCTACTATTATATTCTTATTGCCTTTGATGAGAGTGCAAGAACAATTAGCCTTCATCTCTGAATCATTCATGGAAGAATAGCCATCGAATAAAACATGAACTTGGTAGCCCATCGTGATTGAAACACAAAGCTTACAGTTTCACTACAATGACAATAACAAATTGGAGAACGCGGAGGTAATCTCCTATACACCCCTCCAAGTTTTCCCACGTTTGTCACTATCGAGTGATCGATTCGGGAAACGAATCGAATACGGAGTTGTGCCACCTCGCAAGTTAGAGCACTATCGATCTTCTGCTCATGCGCAGTCCAAGTTTCTCACCATTTTAGAGCATCTGCGCATGCGCAGAACATTAACATTGCTGGCTCTAAGGTTGATACAAACTCCCTATGGGAAAACCCATGGTAAAAATACGGGCAGTACTATCACAGTAAGTTATACTGTGGTACTATCTTCTCCGCGTGCGCAGATACACCCAAGTAATGCGAAACTTACAGTGCGCGTGCGCACAAGATCAATACTGCTTTAACGTTCGAGGGTGCACAAACTCCCTTTTGGACCGAATGGCCACCATGGCTAGCACGCATGCATCGCATCTGTTCATGGCTTCTGTTTGTGCACAGCGTAACTGTCGACAGCAGTCGGGGCTTTTTGCAGCAATCGATAGCAACCTTGAGACTACGCATGCACAGTTTGAGTTGCGCTGGCACGAATTTTCAAAGGTGTAGTGTAGTCCAGCCATTAAGTGCTATAGTACAAATTACACACATGCACATGACACATAACTGCTGTTGCGGTTTCATACATTCAATAGTTTGTGTCGTAACAGTGACATCACTATAGGAACGTTCAAGTTCCCGATTGAATGACACCATGAACAGCTGATTTACGTCAAATGCACTGTTAAATAAATCCTAGTATAGAAACGACTGCTCTAAAACATTGTGGTGTAATTTTGAATTTTTGCTCCCTTATGCTTTTTGAGGAGCTGAATACGAATCTGAAGTTCGCCAAAAAATTTCCGTTGGAATATGAATTATATAAAAAAAATAAAAAATAACATTTCATCTGTTTTTAGCGTATATATATAAAAAACTAGAGAAAAATACATTAAAAAAATAGCAAAAATACTTTACCAAAATATTCAGCATAAAATTTCCTACTATTCCTTCTAACTATCCGTAGGGGAAAATTGGAGCGCTTATTGCGAGAACGACTTTTCTAAAAATAAATTGATGAATTTCAAGCACAAGATAACCTAAAACTACTAGGTTTTTAATTGTACGATCAAAAATGTACATATTCAAAAATGCTGAGTTTGCTGCAAAAAAAGTAGCACTACTTTTTTACCGTCATTTGATATAGATTTTAGATTTAGATTTATTAATAATTCTGCAATTAAGTGTGAGAACTTGGTGGCAGAATACACCAACTTAACATACTTTACAAAATCACGCGAACATTTCACCGTGCAATCTTTCATAGAACACCACTTCACCAAACTTCACTTCACCGCACTGCGATACAGCGAGCTGTAATGTCTTTCTTACTCACTAGTTTCTCTCAACGTCACTGCACTTCACATAATAATAAAATAATAATAATAATAATAAATAATCATAATAATAAAATAATAATAATAACAATAATAATAACAACATAATACTAATTACAAAGAAGACATAGATAGATTATCACTGAATTTTATAAATATATTTATAACATAGTCTAAATTCAAGGAAACTGAATTTATTTTTAAACTGCTTCAGTAGCTTTGAGGAAAGGGATCGACGATTGTCACAGGCAACTGTTTCGCAGTCACTAGTAGTTCCAGTAAGTAGTTATATATTTATATAGTATATATTATATTATATTATTATATATATATATATATAATATATAGTATATTATTACTGAGCGGACCCCGTCAGATTCGTCTGTCAAAGTAAGAATTTGTAATGGCGAAGATTTTTTTCCCCCATCATGTTTTTAATTCTCGTGAACAGAAAGCCGTCACCCTGGTGATAGGGCGTTGTGAATAAAATATAATTAAATTTACAACATATATATGAAAGCAATTTAAAAGTAGTAATCGCTTTATGTTATCATGTGAATATAATTATTAACAAAATCAGTTTTATTTTCATTTAGTGGCTTGTGATATTAGATGTTTTTTGTTTGATTACCTGGCAACCAGAAAAACAGATTGATGGTTTTCGAAACGGGAAACGAGGCAACATACAATTTGAACCATGGTGAGAAAACGATGGGTTTTCCAGATTAATACCACAAACACTTAATGATTGTGCCCCTGGGACTTTGTTTATGGTATCTGAGCAAAACCAGCCGAACTTGGAAACTGTAGTGCCGTTTTAAAAAGTCATACGGCAAATAGCGGATTGATTCGGGAGCGTCGGATAATGAGGACGTCTTCCTTTATTTTCCTTTCAGAAATAAGTTGCTTCATCACAGTTTGTTTAGGTAATTTTTGTATCGTTAACACCGTGTGGCCGTTCAGAAGACGTGGTTGCTGCATATTTCGGCAATCATTATACACTACCCGATCTCAACCTTTAATGTGAACGGATGTGAGGTGGCAATCCGGAAATCAGCGAGTTTAAAAAATCTGGTGGATAGTTTCACTACAACAGAATATACATCTGTGTTAGTAGCCAATCAACTGATTTATGTATCCTCGATTCCTTAATTGTTCTTTGAACTTTATAAATTTAATTCATTTACATCTATGTTTTTTGCAGGCAAATAGCATCGTTCACATCAAACCAATCATGGTTCTGTAATTTGTGAAGAAGAATGGGAAACACCCTTCTGATAAGTCTATCGCTTTGATGAGTCTAACTGGCTGCCAATAACTTCCCCTACAAATGTTATTTGTCAGTAAAGATTCTATGAAGAAATGCCATACCAAACAAGAGTTGTTTGAGAATTCTTTCCAGATTGGTCATTTGCAACTCGACACGCATATTCTTGCTTAATTAAGTTACTTTGACATGTTTTCACAATTGGACGGACTTTGAACTGCCATGAGTTTCATCGACTGGTGTGAGTCGTGTAACGACGGCAATGTTTGACTGATAAATCAGGCGAATAAAATATTCCAA